AGGGGTGAGGGCGAGCGGGGGCGAGCAGCAACCTGTGCCTGCCCTGGCATGAAGACCATCCCCTGTCCTCACGTCGCTGCCCGCTGCTCTCCCTCCACCAGACGCTCTCCCTGGTAGCCCAGTCCCACAACGACAGCTCCACGCTCAGCTTCCTGCAGTGGAAGGCACCAGCCTACGGCTCCCAGACCCCCGGGCGTGAGGACAACATCCAGTGCCGGTCTCACGGCCTGCAAGCAGCCAACTGGACCCTGCCCGTGTCCAGCATTGTCCGTGCCTACTTCGGGGAGGGCGCAGGCAGCACCTACACCATCAGTGCCATCAACATCTCCTTTGGGGGAGAGGACGGAAAGGTTTACCAGGAGAAGCGCTACCTCCGCTGGTGAGTGGGGTGTGTTGTGCAGGACGCTACGCTCTCCCAGTTTGGGGAACTTGGAGGCTTTCTCTGTTTAATAACTGTCTCCTTTCAAAAGTTTTCCTACAACCCTGTAGCAAAGAGCTTTGCAGTTCATCGACGCATTCCCTCACCCCTCCCACTCATGGAGACCCCCTCCTGCCCCATGGAGGATCCTGCCAAGAAATCTCGATCCGATGTAGAAAGCCCCAGATATTCCACTGTGGGACACAGCTGATCCCCATCTCCGTGGCTGATTTGTCTCCTCCCCTCCTGCAGGTCGGCGCTGCTGGGCTTCAGGCAGCCCCCCAGGGACACCTTCTCCCCGCTCGTCATCTCCATCATGGCTGTGGCACTGGGCACCCCCATGGTGATGCTCCTGGTGGGCAGCTGCGTGGTCCTCTTTGCCCAGAGGAAATGCTACTCTGAGTATGAGCCCATCAACTGAGTGGGACGGTCCCTGGAGAGACCTCCAGGATCCTTCTTGTCACCAGGGAACGACCCTGGCGGCTGCAGGGGCTCCAGCGTCTGCAGCCACCGCTCTGTCCTCCTCTCTGTCCAGGCTCCGAGGGGATCAGGGCAACATTTGCAGCAGTTGCCCACATCACGTCCCTCTGTCCTGCTCCTTCCTACTTCCCAGATCCTGCACCCAATTACACTTCTTCCTGTTTTTTTCCTGATGCACCCAGCCAAGGGAAGTGACTGGGGGAGCTGGTCAGGGTTGCCTTAAGCTGCAGAAAGATCCTCCTTCTCCCATGGGATAAACCCACCGTTGTCTTGCCCGCAGCCAAGCAGCGGCTGGGGCCGGCCGTGCCCTGTTCCGTGCCACTTCCCGAGCACACCAGGGCTGCTCGGGTGGCTCCAGCCCAGGAGCAGGGCTGGAAGACAGGGCTGGAGACTGGTACTGCTCCTGCACGCCGTGCTGCTTCTCACTGCTCTGGGGGCATCGCAGAACAGCCCCCCTCACCCCAGCTGGGGCTCCCAGGCAACTCGGTCCCCAACTGGGCACTTTCTGCCGTGCTGGCCTTGGCGAGGGCTGCTGGTACGAGAGGGAGACCCGGTGCTGCTGGAG